CTTGATCCTCATCCCAAGAATCTGCTTTGCAGCGCCCAGATCCTTCATAGCAAACTGCTTCAACAATTTTTGCTTCAAGTGTATAATCTCTTGCATGTCTGAGCCTGCAACGAGCATGTCATCAATGTACAATAATAAAATAATGAAGCTGTTGTCGAACCTCTTGATGTAGCAACAATGATCTGCTTGGCATCTGATAAAACCACTGCTACTCATGAAGCTATCGAACTTCTTGTACCACTGTCTAGGAGCTTGTTTTAAACCATACAAGCTCTTCTTCAACCTGCATACCAGGTTTTTCTTGTCTGCCTCTATGAAGCCTTCTGGCTGCCTCATATAGATTTCTTCCTCCAAATCACCATGAAGGAAAGCTGTCTTTACATCTAACTGCTCAAGATGTAAATTCTCTGCAGCTACAATTTTCAACACCAGTCTGATTGTAGACAATTTTACGACTGGAGAGAAAATTTCATTGTAGTCAATACCTTCTTTTTGCTGAAAGCCTTTGACAACCAATCTTGCTTTGTAGCGTTTGCTCCCATCGTGCTCTTCTTTGATCCTGTAAATCCACTTGTTGTGGAGCGCTTTCTTGCCTGGTGGTAATTCAGCTAATTCCCATGTCTGATTTGACATAAGCGAGTCCATCTCATCTTTCATGGAAAACTCTCACTTGACTGAATCCTCCACTTGCATTGCTTCATCATAGCACTCTGGTTCACCATTGTCAGTCAGCAACAAGTAGTGTAAAGAAGGAGAATACCGTTGGGTTGGTTTAGGAATTCTGGATGAGCGTCTCAGTTCTGGTGTGCCTGGTTCTTCTTGAACTGCTTCAGGATTGATCTGAACATCATTTTCAGAAATCTCCTCGAACTCAGCAAATTCCTTTGTTTCAGCTTCGGTATTACTTGATTCTGCGGTTGACCTATCTTTGTACATCACATTTTCATTGAAAATGACGTCTCTGCTTCTGATGATCTTTCGATTTTCGTAGTCCCAAAACCGGTAACCGAACTCATCACCACCGTAACCAACAAAGATGCATTTGTTGGACTTGGCATCAAGTTTACTTCTTTCAGCAGAGTTTATGTGTACATAAGAAATACAACCAAACACTCTTAAGTATGAAAGATTTATTTCTTTCTTGCTCCAAGCTTCCTCTGGTATTCCGCCATCCAAAGGAACTGAGGGCCCACGGTTGATCAAGTAAGCTGCAGTGTTGATAGCTTCAGCCCATAGAAATTTGGGCAATCCGGCATGTATCCTCATGCTTCTGGCACGTTCATTCAGAGTTCTGTTCATGCGCTCTGCTACGCCATTCTGCTGCGGTGTTATGGGAACTGTTATCTCCATCTTGATCCCATTGTTTGCGCAGAAATCTCTGAATCTACTGTCTCTGTATTCTCCTCCATTGTCAGACCTCAACCGCTTGACTTTCAAACCAGTCTCATTTTCCACCATGGCCTTCCATTTTCTGAAGGTATCAAATACTTCTGATTTCTTCTTCAGAAAATAAGCCCACACCTTCCTTGTTGAATCATCGATGAAGGTGACATAATATAGTGAGCCCGCAAGAGATGGAACTGGGAATGGTCCCCATACATCAGTATGAACCAAATCTAACCTTTCTGCCTTGGGTGTCTTGCCAATCTTTGCAAAACTGACTTTCTTTTGTTTGCCAAAGATGCAATCCTCGCATAGTCCGACATCTACATTCTTTAGATCCGGCAGCTTCCCTTTTGACAGAAGTATCTTCATTCCTTTCTCGCTCATATGGCCAAGCCTTTGGTGCCATAGGTTTGATTTTCCATCAGCATCTGCTACTGCAATGATATTCTCTAAATTTGAGGTTACATAGAGAGTACCAGTCTTCTTACCACGAGCAATGACGAGTGCTCCTTTGGTAATCTTCCATTCACAGCCTGAAAAGGTTGTGCTATATCCTTCTCCATCAAGTTGTCCAACAGAAATCAGATTTCTTTTGAGGCCAGGAATATGTCTCACTCCTGTCAGCTTCCAGGTGGTCTGGTTTGGCAACTTTAGTCGGATGTCTCCTTTTTCGACGATCTTTAAGGTTTCATCATCAGCAAGATGAACCTTCCCAAAATCACCACTGACATAGTTCTCCATGATTTCTTGGTATGGGGTGGAGTGGAAAGATGCCCCTGAATCCAAGATCCATGATTCAATCGGACGGTTGACGCTTAGAATCATGGCATCACCTGTCTCCTCTGTCACGTTGGCAGATTCCTGTGCACCGGTATCTTTCTTCAGTGCTCGGCAATCTCTTTTGAAGTGACCCTTCTTGCCGCAATTATAACAGGTAAAATCTTTATTTCCTGTTCTTGATTTGTCCCTTCTGGATTTTTATCTGCCACGATTTGAATTTCTTTATGAAGTTCTCCCTCTAGACTCGGTGTGCAAGGCTGAGGAGGTTGATGCTTCACCCGATTCTCTTCGTCGAATTTCTTCACTCAATACCAGATCCCGAACATCGTCGAATTTTAATTTGCTGTTTCCCGACGAACTGCTGACTGCTGTAACAGTAGCATTCCAACTGTCTGGTAGAGATGATAAGAGAATTAAAGCTCGAACTTCATCATCGAACTCAATTTCCACTGAACTCAACTGAGTTGTGATTGTGTTGAGTTCATTTAGGTGTTGTGCTACCGATGCCCCTTACGCCATCCGTAAATTGAATAATCGCCTCATCAAATGAACTTTGTTTGAGGCCAATGGCTTCTCGTACATACTGGAGAGAGCCGCCATAAGACCCGCCGTGGTCTTTTCCTTTGCTATGTTAAAAGCAACATTGCGGGATAACGTCAGTCGGATAACTCCGAGGGCTTGTCTATCGAGAAGAGCCCAATCTTCATCCTGCATGCCCTCTGGTTGCTTTCCTGAGAGAGGTTGATATAGATTTTTCTAGTACAAAAAATCTTCAATCTGCATCTTCCAAAAACCAAAGTCCGCACCATCGAACTTTTCAATTTTCACCTTCCCTTCGTCTGGAGCCATCGCTCCCACTCGAATCTGGCTTCGTTTGGATCGTTTCTGACAATTCTTGCGAATCACCGTGTATTAGAACACCACCGTCGACAAACTCGTATCGTCGACCGAATTTCACTATTCACAAAATTCACTATTCACGTGAATAGTAATGAATAGTAACCTCGCAGAAAATTTGACAAAATTCACAACCAAAAGCTCTGATTACCAGTTGTTAGGAAAATAAACCGAGTACAAGTAATTTCCCTATAACCAGATTAGTGAGAATGCGAAATAAAAGCGGAAAAATAATACCCGAAAATTGATAACGGAGTTCAGCCAATTGTGCTTACGTCTCCGGGCTGCTGCAGATCTTTTACTAAGAGAGAAAATTTACAGGTGTTTACAAAACACTCACTACTCACAAGAAAGCTCTCTAGTATAGGAAGAAAGAAATGTTTTGGGATGATTTTGAAGCTAAATGGGTAAGGGTATTTATAGTAGAAACTTAGGGACTAATCTTTGAAAATACCCTAAAGTGCAATGACTAAAGTGAATTTACTCATTCCTATTTTCAACAAACATCTACCAAAATTTTGCCAAACTTTGAAAAACATTTTTCAAAGAAACATTTACCAAACTTTGAAAAAAACATTTTCCAAAGTTGGTTGCCAAACTTTGAAACTTTTAACAAAAATCTTAATGGGACTCGTTCATTTGTGTTCGCACATGTGAAGGTACGATTTAAGTTTGATGATCCTTGTAAGTTCAAGCTTTTACTAAGGAGGAAGGGTAAGACCCGATTCCATAGAAGTTTTCATGCCAACGATGACAACTTTGTTATTAAGTGTTTCAATCTTTGGAGGCTTTAAATGGTGATTAGAGAAGTTTTGATCTCTTTCTTACTGTAGTAATTAATATTGTTAATTGTGATGGGATCGTTGAACTTGCAAAAGTTGTTGAGACACTTTTTGTTGATCTGAGCAAGAAGAATATTTGTCATTATAGAAGTATAACAAATGACTTTGTTTTTGCCAAGTTAAAGCCATATCAACAGTACATGAGTTACAAGGTTTTCGGTCTTTGTCCCAATGAATGAAACATTGGTCAGAAGATAATCTTGAAAGGATGTCAGCCTTTGCCGAGAAAGTGATGATTTGCCAAGACTGTTTCTAAACCAGTTCTTTCTTCTTTACATTCTTCTTTACGGAAACATGATAATGACAAGAGTTTTGCTTGGAGTGGCCTAGGTTACAAGAATTTTAACTATTTGAATAGTATGAAATTGAGTATAGATTGTGTTGGTTGCTTTGATTTGGTTAATGGACATGAGACTCAGATATGTTAATGCTAGAAGCAAGATTTACTTCATCATGGCTGATGTTTTAGCTATAGGTAATCATGGGATTCGAATCGGATTCGATATCAGATGAGGGTTCGAGATTGCTGCTAGAATGGCTGAGAGGAATGTCACTATCATCACTGATACCTTGAATCTCGATGCGCCGCATAGCGAATTCATTTTTTTAGGGGATTCTTCCATTAATTTTTAAGCTGGGACCAAAGGTTCCATTTCTGTGATAATGTTTTTTATTTGGTCCACCCCAAGAGTGGATTAGATGTTGGAGGTAGACCGGAGAAATTAGAGTTCTTGATGTTCGACGTAGATCGCACTATAAGGGTCAACGACTTGTTTTGGTTAGATAACTTTTATTATTATGATAATGAAAAGAAGAGAGCTTTAACTCGTTTAATCAAAAGATTCAGATATAAGAAGCTCAAATCTACATTCTCTGAATAAGAGGAATCCAACACAATAGGCTGCAACATAATTTGTAAGGCCAACTTCAAGTCTATAGCAAGGAAATTCAAGACCATAAGCTGGTGCAAGAACTATATCACAAGAAATATTAGCATGGATGACTTGTGCAATTATATCCTTATTGGCAAATCTACAACAAGACAATCTTTGGGAGTATTGTACTTGTCCTTATCCTGATTGGTAAAGACAGTTCATGGTTCGAGATTTGTCTTATGGAGGAGTTTCGAAGAGTAATTCATGCTTGGAATCTTGAGGACAAGGTTCTTTTTGAGAGGATGGAATTATTATGAACAAAAGATTAAAGGAGCAGCCAAGTCAACAGTTAGAACCATTACAATTGTGTCAAGAAGGAGCCAAATATATAGGGTGAATTCATGCATCTTAACCTAGTTGTTTAACTTTTTTTTTTTAAAAAAGGATGTAACATAATAGGGTATCGAATTTTTTTATCAAAACACTCTCCTCTTATTCCTTCTTCTACTTATCTTTCTCTCTCTATTTCCTCTACATCTTTAACCAAAATTACAGAATAGTTCACAACAAAAAATTAATATTAGAACCCACACAAGTTCATATGACAAAGGAAAATTTTAGTCATTTCATTCCTCTAAGAGTAATTCAAACTATTATTACAACTTATCCCAGAGTACTTTAAGATAAATGTGGAGATTCGAAATCATACAATATGGGACAACATGAGCATCCTTGATCATTCGACCGATCTCCGATTACAAATATTTTATCAATGAATTTGTGTGATTATGATTTAAATTATAATTTTAAGTTTAAGGGTTTCTAAAAAAATTATAAAATATAAATTATTAAAAATTATAAAATATTATTATAATTATCAAAAGATTCATAAACTTTATTGAGCAATTTTAGGCCGTGTAGGTGACTCAACATACGAAACTTACACTCCAACTTCATTATAATTCAAAATCATTATTTGTTATATATTCTTCAAATCTCGTTCGTTAATTGTATCTTTACTGCTAGTCTTTATCTATTGATATCTTCATAGTTTTTAGGAGTTTTTAGAGTTCTACCTCCTTCGGACAACTATAGTCCCTTATTATAATCGTTATCAATCTCACCATTGTTAAATTTACTACTGGAGGCTATGTGTAATCACTCGATTGACCTACAAAATAATAATCATCACCTTAGGTATGATACCAACATTAAGGGATAGTATATGAATCTCATGTAAAACTAAAGAGGTCTCTCTCTTTCTCTCTCTAATTCTAAGATTATTGTTCATCATTTTTTTCAACTTGCATATTTCACCTTTAACAACTACAAAACCACATTCTCAGCTCTATGCTTAAATCAAAAGGAATAACAACTACAAAATCACACTCTCGGCTCTTCGTCCAAATCGAAAAGAATGAATCGCAAAACAACATCTCAATCTCATTTCTCCTATCAACACTATTGTCTAACTTTTAATATTTATTTTTTAATTTGTCAACTATTAGAATAATTTTCGTTTGATATTTTTATTTTTAAACTCTTTCTGAATTTTCAATAATCCAAAAAAGTTTTTTTCCTCTCAAATAACACAATGGTACCAAAGTAAACTTATATATATATATATATATATATATTGATTAGACTATTTAAAACTAATAAATCTTACACTAATTTTTTACCATTAGATTTAAATAAATAAATGAAATAAATTTAATTTAAATTTATAAGTCATAAAGAAATATATCTTTTTATCTCAATCTCAATTAATAAACCCTAAATCCTAAAATTTCAAACCCTAAAAATCTAACCCAAACCATAAACCTTAAACACCAAACCATAAACCATAAAGCATAACCTTAAATTATAAAGCTTGAATCTTAAACTCTAAATCTTAAAATCTAACCCTAAAATGAAAAAATATTGTTTTACTATGAGTTAAAGAAATATTTATTTATGAGTTAGAAATTTTAAGTTATTTATTTATTTAAATGTAATGGATATAAATTAGTGTAAAATTTATTAGTTTTACATAGTGTAAGTGGATCCTAACCCATATGTATATATATATATATATGAAGGGAAATTAAATGTTGAGATTAACTCTTTGTTTTTTCTCATTTTTTATTGTTAATCTCAACCTTTAATTTTTCTCATCTAATGGTCTTAAAAAGGTATAAAACTAAAATAGTTTTATATAATCCACTTACACTATGTAAAGTTAATAAGTTTTACTCTAATTTATAGCCATTAGATTTAAATAAATAAATGTCTTAGATTTAAGTAAAATTTATAATTCATAAATAAGCATTTCTTTAACTAACGACAAAACAATATTTTTCTTTTTAAGGTTAGGGTTTAGGAATTAAGATTTAAGATTTATTATTTAGGGTTTAGTGTTTAGGATTTGGGGTTATGGTTTATAAAGTTTGAAATTTTAGGATTTTAGGGTTTGATATTAAGGTTTTAAGGTTTAGGATTTTGGGGTTTGGGTTTGAGGTAAAAAAGTTATTTTTTTTACTATGGGTTAAAAATATTTATTTATGAGTTATAAATTTCAATTAAATATAAGTCATTTATTTATTTAAATAAAATAGTTATAAATGACAATAACTTCTTGTTTTTAAGTGAATATCTTCTCATGTCATACTATTAATCTCAGCTTTTGATTTCTTTCATCAACGATACTTAAAAGTGTAAAACTTTTAGTTTTACATTGGGGTAAATCGATCATGTCCTATATATATTATATATTACCGATTAATAGAGATGACTTAAGCCATTCAACTCCAGCTTACCCTAATTTTGGGAAACAAATTATCTATTATTTTTTCATAAACGCGTTTTTCTTAATCTATTAATTTTAATCATTTTTCCAACGCATAACAACAAAATCTAATATAAAGCAAAAATTGAGATAATGCACTTAAAAAATAAGTTGGATGTATGATGAAATCATTATATTTTCGTCAAATTACATTTTTAAGTGAATTATTAAATCACGATTTCCCTAAATTAATTATAGAAGGCTATTATTAATAAAATCATATTAATATAAATTTCTCAAAAAAGGTATGATACAAAAAATTGTAATTTGATTGCGAAATAGTGTCTTGTTGTGGATTATAAAGAAAAAGAAAGTTGATTTATATCAATTTTAAAAATAGTACAATTTATTAAATTATTAAGAAATAGTGTCAAATTGCTTTTCTTTTCAATTTTTTAAAAAAATTTTATTAAAATGAATTTAAAAATTAATATTTTAGGGTATAAAGATTTAAAAAAAACATTACTCCCATTGAATAGTCTCAATAGTGAAAAACATATATCATTATTTTTAAATAATTCAAATTTGATTATCTGCATTTGTAAAGGTATATTTGAGTTTTTAATATATTAAAAAAATATTAAATATATACAACTACAATCACTTTAAAATACTAAAAAATAAACATTAATTATAAATTTTAAAATTATTGAATTTTTAAGATGAAGATAAACCAGTCAATATAGTTATCAAATTATATATTTTGAAGAATTTTATTTTATCGTTTTAGCCTATCGTATTATTCAAGGAATCTTATAAATAACAACTTTTTCGCAATACATTTTAAAAAAAATGGAGGTTGGGTTTCTGTATATAATACTTTTAAGAATTTGTTTTTACATGATGAAAATGATTTTTATAATTTGATAAACGAGTTAAAATAGTAACAGGTATTTTATTTATTTTAAAATGTTTTAACTTTTATCATATTTATAATAAAATAAAAGAAATATTTATGTGAAAAACAGTTATAAAACTGTATGTGTATTAAATAATTATAGTCAAAGTCATAACGAATTTACACGTGAATTTATATTCTTGTGTTTTAACCTTAAATAATATTTTATAATCATTTAATTTAAATATTATATAAAATATGTAAAGATAAAAATATACGTATAATAATATTAGTTACTCTTTAAAAAGACAATATTTTTTTTTTCTAATTGAGTGAGTACTAATTAATTCTCAAAAAAATGAGTTTACAGTCGTATATATAGAGACGTGATCTTGTTAAACATTTTCTAGAATCTAAAAGCTCTATGGACATAAACGAGTTATTTTTCATTTGGATACTCGAAATAATTAAAAATTAAAATTCCGATAATAAAACAATATAATATTGCTATGGCGTTAACGATATTCCATTGAACGAGAATCCAAAGAAAGGAGAGAAACAAGGAAACCCTAGAGAAGTAATGTCTTCTTGAAATAGTTAGAATGTTTTAAACTAATCACTTAACAATGAATTTTTAGTCATCTTACTGGGTTCACATATCAGAAAAATTATTTATTTAGTCATTTAATTATCACTTTATTACTTAATTATTTTTTTAAATCATACATTATAATCTCTATAAACTAATTTAAAAAATAACTAAAGTCCTAACTTAATTTTACTGCTTGAAAATTAATAAATTTTAGAAATAATTGAACCGAAAAACATTGAAAGTGATCAAGATTTAGTTTCATTTATTTTAAAATTAATAGGACTTTAAAGAACAATTAAATCATAAAAGGTAGGGGGCCGAGACCCTTCCATGTTCAAGGAACTTTATTTTAAATGTGTTTAAACACAATTATGTTTAGTTTATAATTTTAGAGGATTGTGAGAAAATGAAATATTATATAAAATTATTTACAGATGAATCTGTACTCGACCAGCACTATTGAGTATCACTAAGGATGATTACCATTAATTTAATTTATAAAAATTTAAAATTCTAAAAGACTCAACGTATGATTATAAATTAGTTAAAAATTTAAAGATAAATTATTTAAAATAAAATATTAATTATATTATTTTACATAATTTTTTGGGTAAACTATACCATTGACTACCTAACTATTTAGCCATTTTACTTTTACAACCGATCTTTCAATCTTGTCAATTAGACCACCTAACTATTTAATCATATTCAATCAAGCCACTTGCCGTTAATATTTAACGGAAGTACTGATGTGGCAGTTAATCAAACTAGTATAATTATACATTTAGTCCTCAATATTTATACAATTTATTAATTTAGTCCTAATTTTAAATTAATTCAATAAATTTAATCTCCCTATTAGATGGTGACAATTTTCACCACTCAATTAGATTAGATTATATTTTAATTTTTAATTTAAAATTTTTAAACTCTAACCGGCTAGGATCAAACTCACGCCTAATAAAAGGGATATGTGGCAGACTTATCCCTAATCTGAAGG